GCATAGTCACGTGCACTCATGTGCAGGCGTGTGTCATGGACAGCTGATGAGCATATAGCCACTTTATCTGCTTCCTTTTTGTTGCTGTTTCTATCCTCTGAAGATGAACTGCTGTAAGAACATAAAAGTTCAGAACAATAAACCAATTGTTCTGGTGCTCGAAACGCCTTCTCCTGTACGCACACAAACGCAAACTTCGTCGTTGGTTCACATCAGTATGTATTTTTTTCAGTTGACCCAATTGTAAAAAACTTTCGGCCTCGGTTGGAGTCGAACCCACACAATAGGGAAGGCTTTTGCGCAGCCAATGCTCTGCCGTTGAGCCACGAGGCTCACCGTGCGCCATGAATTTAATCACAATTGGGTCGATTTGCTTGACCAGTTTTACTGCACGTATGCAATACACCAATACCGACGCAGTATGCTGATTAACAGGCAGGATTTCCTAAATAATCATCTAGGATGCACCGAATGGACTACTAAGGCTAACCTTGGTCGTTAGGGGTTTGGCAGATTTTAATTATTTCAGTTAAATGAAGGTTTGCACAAGCATTTATTTTCCTATTTTAATGCTCAAAACGCCGTCATGATAAGAATGTGATATACGTGTTTATGCCTATCAGCAAATTTTCAGTACATTAGTTGCGAAATAATTTGACAGCACGTCCTCACGTCTGTTTAATTTTCAGATGATATATTTTGTGAAGCTGATTTTGACTATTAGTTAAAGGCTAAGGGTGGAGTATAAAGAAATACTGATGATGCAATCATTAAAACTCCAAAAGGCTAGATACATAACCCAGCATTATTTTACCTGATAAGCTATTCTTTTTTTCAAAGGACGTAACATAGGACTTTAGCAACAAGGCGTTTTAAAACAAAAAGGCTTTTTTTAATTGAATTCGCTGATGAATGCATCCACTTATCTTGATGTATAGCATGGATTACCTGTAACCTGGGAGGGAACGAATTGATTTAGACTCAACCCCCTAATGATTGCATGCCTAGCAAAAGCATTTAGATATTTCCCCCTGTCAATTCAAACATAATGAGTGTTTGGGCAGGTTGTATGACATTCCGCTAGTGTTCACAGTGAAGAACCAAGTTTTATCACCTTGGCAATCCTAAACGCTTTTGAACCAGTTAGCCTACCCAAATAGATAGTTGTTTGAACTTTTTGAAGTCAAAAGCGATAAATTCAAATAAACACAGAAAAACAAATCATTAAAGAACTGCCGAAAGAAGCGTAATACTGTCCCGTCATTTTGTAAAACAAAGACTACAACTGTCAAAAACTACTCTTGAGAAGAGAGGCACCCATTATAAGTCACACTTTAGACAATCATACATCTGCATTTTCATGTTGCGAACAGTGATCAGAGTTGATGCCTCTAATACTAGTCAAAAAATGAGAAAACATGCCCAAATCTGGTCTACAAACGATAAAGATCCGGTCCTGCTGCTGCTTTAAACATAAACTTTGCCGGATAAGGCTATGAAATGGTTCACTTTTAACAGAAACAGTCTAATATGAACCCCAGAATTCTTTCAGACGGGATATGTGGTAAAAGGGGTCATATGGAAGGGGCATTACGGCGGCGCAAAAGAGAAAGTAAAAGAAAGATACCAAACACAGCAGGAAATAATAGATAAAGTTATAATAAACAGCTGACATAAAAAAACGAAAGAACGTTCGATAATTAAAACAGTGAACTAAAATAACTAAAAAATACAATAGGTTAACAAAAATTAAAATAAATAAAAAAATAAAGTGAAGAGCAAAATAAATAATTATTACTGGCGGTCAGGTATTACAGAATTCTTGGTTTTTTTCTGTAATTAGCCCTGTACTACACTGTTACCTTTTTATCTGCCGATGTTATAAAACCCCAAGCGGAAGTTTCTCACGCGGTTTCAATTAGGATGTAAGTGAAGTTCATTCCCAGTGAGACTCCGTGCGCGTTATATGGCCTTTGCTTCAGTCCCATACACTTAAGTTCCATGCTGACGTTGCAAAAACCATGTACATTCTGCGTGACTGGGTTGTGGGTGGTACATGCAGACGGGTTGTTGAGGTTTGTCCGCTATTGTGTCCGCAACCGGTCGGTGTAACACTTTTTTGCCGTCAGAGCCAGGTGGTTTGGATGAATGTCGTAAATGTCTGCCTCGTTGTAAACTAATTTTCACGCCAATTCTGTCGTGGAACTTCCGGCTATCTACATCGACGCCGATAATTATAACGTTGTTACGAAACGGTGATAATTGGTTATATTCTCAGCAAGGCTTCGTGTTAAACTCTGCCCCCAAAAGCCCCGAAATTAAAACTGGTGTGCCTTAGGTCGAATAAAATCCCTTCAGGTCCACTGTTACATATTACAAAAACCACAGCACTTTTGAAAGGTTTATTTTTTGCCCCAATTTATGACGGAGGAGGTGAGAGTTGTGCGCAGTCCTTGAACTTGCTATGGCCCAACTGTGGCAATAATGTAACTTAAGCAGAAACAATATCAAAGTTATCGGTCCTGTGGGGCGGGCTATATTTGTCCCGCGAGTCGGCGCTATCACCAAAATAATAAGGGAACAACTCCCAGCATGTATTACAAAAGGTGAAGACTGGAGAATAACTAATGCTATTCGGGCGCACATGGTTGATTCTGGACATCGTGTGGACCCCAACGAACTCTTGCAGTAGATTTGTAAGAGCTCACAAAACTACTCCAAGACCCTGGGTCAGCATTTGCCAGCAGAAACAGCAGAAACAACCGCTATCCGGTTCAGGAAGATGGTCTTGTGCGTACAAAAAAACCTCCTACAAGATACGAATTTGGCAGGGAAAACGGTCGCTTAACTTCAGGCACTTAACATACATTTTCTCTCTACTCCCCCTCCTCTTGGTCCTGCTTCAGCAAAGCCTAACGGCCGCGTAACAAGCCGCCTATTATGGACCCCTCTACCACTCTCCTCTCCTATTTCCTTTAATCATTCGCATTTAATGACGAATGTAGTTGTCGGCACGTTTGCCTTTGACCCCACCTCCCATATAAATGTAATGACCCGATTAAAATGTATCGAAAGCTTACTACTCAGCAACTGTTCTTCCGAGGTCAGGTTACAGACTGTAGCATTATTTCCTCAGATTAAAGAAACCAAAAAACCGTGGGGAATGTTGGGCTGACTACTTTGAAAACGATTTATTAAACGACCGACAACCTCGCGCTGGAGATGCAATAGTTGTACTCTGCGTGACAACCTATTGGTCAGAACTGAAAGCCATTTCATATTAAGGAACGATTAAACAGGAATAAATGACAGCAAGAAAACATTCAGACTGCTAACCGACTGTTCCTACCGTTTAGTTACACCTAAAGTGCGTAATGAGAGCGTAGCAGGTTGCTTTTTGTACCCGTATAAAATCCGAATAATTCAGAAAACAGTGTGCTTACTGCAAACCTTTCGATGCCGGCTTTAACATTTTTGACTCAATATATAGTATGAAATGAAAGCAATCCGTTGATAATGAGTTGCAAGCTTTCTTGGCACCCAAACATTCTGCTTGCTGGATTTTACTTTCTAAGTTAATCTTGCAGGTACTGTTAGCCCAGGCTCTCCTTT